ATAATCTCTCTTCTCTTCAGTCATCAACGCCTCTGCTGGCACCACATTCAGTGATACAACTTTTTTGGGCCCATTTTCTATTCGTTCTCTGTCTCAATCGGCTCACAACCCGGTTCTTAAGTTTATTCGGAAATGCACATAGTGGCCCTTTTCCATCTCTTTGATATTGAGCAGGCCTTCTAATCCTGCTTTCTACCCATCAAGCCATCACCAATATAATTTAGAGGTATATCTTATAGGTAAAAAGTTGTTGACATTGATAGCTAAAAGTGTAAAACTTGTCACAAAATTACTGTTGAGATCTTTAGTCCCACATTGGACATTGTCGGGCCTTGTTAGTAATATTTAAGTTCCTGGGCTACAGCACTCATTGCCAATTGGTTTTGAGTTGGACCCCCAGGACTTCTATATGGTATCAGAGTGGGCTTTTATTTTGGGCCAATGGCCCATGTGTGCTTCACGTTACCCGTTTAATGAATCCACGTGTTAGGCTCAAAATCATGCCACACGTGAGGGGGACTGTTGAGATCTTTAGTCCCACATTGGACATTGTCAGGCCTTGCTAGTAATATTTAAGTTCCTGGGCTACACCACTCATTGCCAATTGGTTTTGAGTTGGACCCCCAGGACTTTTAATCTTTTATAATTACTATGCAGTGCAGGATTTTTCTTTTCTATTGTTATTGCATCAGTGAAAACACGTATAAAGTGAACATGAGCAATAAATTCACATACCTTAGCGAGAAATCCATTAAGAGACAATCCTCCTGAGGCAGTCCCGCCTGCAGCATCCTTATAAAGGGCAATATCCCAAGGACTGAAAGAAACAACATGCAACAATAGAACACGGTTTAGATCACCTAACATAGTTTTCTACATGCAAGCTGCAAATGCAATTGTCTTAAGCATTGAGAAGCTATCATATGCTTAGATAGAAAACTTATACACCAGCAGAACCCGACAAAGCAGCTCAAAGGAGTGGAAATACAAAACAGCGTATGTATAATTCACCATTTTGACAAAAAGATACATATTGAAATAAAACAGACTTGTATCCAGTTGTTAGATGATGAAAAGAATGGTAGAGAAAGATTGATAGACGAAAATCCTGTGCAACAGTCCTCTGAACTTACATAGACTAATTTAGCCCATGATTTTTTTTATTTTTATTTTTTTTGTAGTAGTAGTCCTACATGTTTCGCAACATATATAACTTTGTTCAGTATTTGCAAACATAGACATGAGAAAAGGATGTGTTCATTGTGATACAGATAGACGACACGTAGAGGGAGTGATATGTATGTATGTAAGGATAATTGGTGGTTCCTGAACTTTACTCAATTGCTGAAAAAGGGTGTTAACCTGTTTTCTCCTCAAATGATAATTAGAAACGTTGGGGTCTACATCCCCCACCCTCCCCAATCCACACCTTCAACGATTCAATTGTATTCCTGTTGTTGCAGTTTGATTTCTGCTACAGTGCTACCCTAATAAAATTTCAATTCTTAAAAACCATGGAACAGGCAATAATACCAAAATTATGTAGAATACTGAATAGGATTTAAACCGTAACAATAAAAAATCAAAGATCCGCACACAGAAAAAATATTTTACCTTTCTGGTGAGGTAGAAAAGAGATCGTCAAGCTCATTAGGTTGTAGGGAACCATCCTAGAACCACACACACACACACAAAATTTTAAAAATAATAATAATGGATCAGACAAATCAGTGACTATGATAAGAATCAAAACATGTATTACTGCTCAAAATCTATAAAGGTATTATATCATAAACCAGACCCAATTTTAACCACTCGGTTCCTATTGCAAGGATATGAACTCCATATCAACAAGAGGATAAACATTCCACTGACCATACTATAAACTATATCAGGATTCCAGTTTTAAATTGCTTGGTGTCCACTTACTGAAATGATAAGTTGAGTGGTTGTTAATTATAAAAGAAAGTCATTTGTCATTCAATTGTTATAAGAGAAAAAAGTTGTGCAGCACAATATGCATGTTTCATACTAGACAAAATAATTGCCGAAGTAATTAAAATCAGCGTTTGCCAAGTTTGTAATGGTATAGGGTAAAATATACGTACAGCATCCAGGTCGAACGAGCTGAAGATCCACGTTAAGAACCCTATGGCTTCATCTGTTAGCTCCACACTCTACAGCATAAAAGAATACGCATAGGTATTTTAAACAATGAATGGATATTTGAGTTGCTTGACTGCACAAGTATATTCATCTGTGAAAGTAAAACACAATTAGATGAATGCTCTTGAGCCTACACACCTACTTGCACCCTTAGATGAATGCTCTGACATTTCCGGGAACTCCTGCATGTATGCAAGCTACCACGAGGTAAAAATGCACAGAGTTCATATTATATATTATGTAGTCCCTAAAAGATCTAGATTTTAAGTACCTCAATAGCAAATCGTCCATATTACCAAACCCCTAGGATGACTTCAGTCACGTAAGTGTACAGGATAGTTCCAGTTTCTTTTTCTTGTGTTTAAAATCAAGGATCTGAGTTGTTACTTCTTGGCCTAAGAAGACAAGATATCAAAATTGATAGAAGATGAGAGCACATAAAGGGGATTCATATGATTTGTACTTTCATTACAAGTTTACAACTTCTCTGGTGGATATTGATATATGTTTATTGGGGTTTCACTATGTGAAGGATCGTATGAACAACATTTTCGGTCTTTGAGAATGGACTCTTACTCTGTCAGACTGTAACTCCTCTAAATCAACGGCCATTCCATTATAACGGTCTAACTCAAAAACAGACTTAATTAAGCAAACAATAGATATAAAAGATACCGTTTCAGCACTTCCATATGAATTAAGTCTCCAGTATATTAAAATTAAACATAAACTCCGGTAACATCATTAAGAATTAAGATAAGCGCACATATTTTATCCGTCAATAGACAAAGTAAACCGATAATGCTTTAACAAAAATACAACAAAAGGAAGCATAATGTAGAGCACTCACATAGAAAACAAAGTTGGAGTCACTAGCAACCACAGATCACTAATAAAAAACAGTTCCTCGTATGTGCATCCAAGACACTCTCTATTAGTATAGAGTATAAACCATCTAAATAGAATCTGACACTACAAAAATACAATGCAAGTCCAGAGAAACCCACCTGGTCAGGTGCTCGTTCAAATGAGAATGAAAGATAGTCATCCCTAAGTTTAAGATCATGACCGTATCCAAAAGACGTAAGTAGCGCCCATGTTTTCTCAGGTCGGACTGTTTCGATATATAATGCATGAAGTGAAAGAAATCCAGCTAAGGTGAAGCCACGACTGGTAACCTCTCCAGGATGCCTCTCCTGTACAAGCTTCTTAACAGCCGCTATTTCAGAAGGCTGTAGGCAAGCATAAAAACATATTTTTTTCCCATTTAAAAAGACCATGAAATCAATTCAAACAAGGATAGAAGAACAGGGCAGTCTAAATTAAAAAACAACAAAACTATATGAGCATGCACTTCCAAACAGAGATAAATACACAATGATATCTACTAGTTAATCAAATAATAAAATCAACCTGCATGTCATGTAAATGTAACTCTCTATCACTTAGAACGCCATCCCTGTCAGAATCACTGAGAATGAATATCCGTTTCAATGCCCTTGCACAAAGGGGCTTTAACATTCGTGTATTCTGATTAAACAGTGGAGCTAGGGGATGAACTACGGTAGTTTGTGCGTAATTGAAAACATCAAGAACCTTCAAGAGGAAGATTAACAAACATATCAGAACTTATAATGTGTAAACCTAAAGGGG